CAGGCTGGGCGCGGGGGTTGGGGTGGGGCGTCCAGGGAGCCTGGAGTGCCAGGCGGTGCTGGCAGGGGGTGATGGCGTGTGGGGGCGGGTCGGCGGGGATCTTCCCTTTAAAAATTTGAAGAAGTAATCGGAGAGAAAAAGAAAAAACGATTTTTTTCTGTGACTTTATTGGAATGCAATTATACTCCGATTGTAAAAGGAAGTATAAGTAAACATTTTAAAATGTCAGAAGTGAGTTTAGTGAAGGAATCGCAAAAATAAAACATTAGAAATTTGCAGAGCACAGTATAATAAAAAAAAACCTTTGTATCACATGTACATGCTTATGAATGTTAAAAATTATCTACGTCATTTACATTTGAAAATGTGGACTTTAGGATAAGGAACATATCATGTTCCTATCACGGCAGAAATGTGAGACACAAACAAGTGTTAAAAATCTGATTGACCCCAATTTCTCTTTGGTAGTAGTCAGCTGCTGCTGCTGCTAAGTTGCTTAAGTCGTGTTCGACTCTGTGCCACCCCATAGAAGGCAGGCCACCAAGCTCCAACGTCCCTCCGATTCTCCAGGGAAGTACAGTGGAGCGGGTTGCCATTTCCTTCTCCAGTGCATGCAAGTGAAAAGTGAAAGTGAAGTCGCTCAGTAGTGTTGGAGTCTTAGCGACCCCATGGACTCAGCCTACCAGGCTCCTCTGTCCATGGGATTTTTCCAGGCAAGAGTACTGGAGTGGGGTGCCAATGCCTTCTCTGGGTAATAATACTCTAATCAGTGCCCAAAACTGCAGCATCAAGATTTACAAAAACCTGAAAAAAAGAGTGAGAAAAGTTTTATTTGATATGTTGTTGAATTTTTTCTGTTCTTACTGAGAAATATTAACTATATTTTTGTTAGGTCTCCTTAGATACTATTTATTTTTAATCATGTGTGTTTTCTAGTTCATCTTCTAGAGTACTCATTCTGTACCCAAAGCACGTCACCAGTTGCTTATTGCATTGCATTCCCTTATTTTTGTCCAAGGTCGACTGTTTGCTGAAGAATAGCAGGAGAAGGACATAAAGTGTGAGACAGGGAATGAACCAGACTAGTCAACAGCTTCCATACCGCATTGTTGCCTGACTCCTTCTCTTATTAAAGACGCTCTTTCCTTTTCTCTAGTTACATCTTCCTTTTATTTTCAAAATTCAACAGTTGTGAGGTTCTCAAGAAACCCCTGGGACTTCCTTGGTGGTCCAGTGGTTAAGAATTGGCCTTGTAATGCAGGGGACACAGGTTTGATCCCTGCTCGGGGAACTAAGACCCCATGACTTGAGGCAGTGAACAGCAAGGAAGAACCTGTGTGCCACAGCTAAGTCTCAATGCAGAGAAATAAATAAATAAATAAGTATTTTAAAAACAGAAACAGACTTCTAGAGTAGGTAACTTGAAAACTTTAAATATCAGTTCATTAAAAAAATAAATAAATAAAATGAAAATATTAATGATACAACAGAGAAATCATTTGCAATATATTAAGGACAAAAGACCAATATTCTTTATCTATAAAAGGCACACACAGGTTAATGAGAAATTCTCAGTTGAAAAATCGGCAAAAATATGAAAATAAAATCTTTTATTCAATTTGCAAGGCCTCAAAGAGACCATACACAAAAGCAGTAATACAAATGGCCCTCAAGTATTTTTAAGAATCTCTCACTACCAAGATTTCCTTAAATCTTATACTGCCAACTACTGCGAAGTAAGATGACATTTTTATAGATCCTTTCTGAAAGGCAATTAAAAAAACTTTATTTATTCATTTGGCTGTGCCGAGTCTTAGTTGTGACACAAGCTTCATTGTGACATGCAGTATATTTAGTTGTGGCATTTGGGATCTATTTCCCTGACCAGGGATCAAACATGGGCCCCTGCATTGGGAGCTTACAGTCTTAGCCACTGAACCACCAGGGAAGTCCCATGAAAAGCAATTGATAGCATAAATCAAAGGTCTTAACAACTGCACATAGTTTTTGACCCCAAGATTTTGCTTCAACAAATACAGTTTCCTAGAAATGTATTCAAAGAAAATAATCACAAATATGAGCAAAGATGCATCTGCAAACATATTTTCATAGCGGCATTATTTGCAACTTCAGAAAAACTAATGAACTTAAATGTTCAGCAGTAAAGAATTAGTTAATAAAATATAGCACACCAAATGATGCAATATTATCAAGACATTAAATATTACTATAATGTGATAATATAAAACTAATATATAGAAATATGCCTTATATTGTTAAATCTTTACAAAGTTATCCAAATATAGTGTAATCACTTTTTAAAAGATACATATACATGTTACTACTAAGAATATTGGAAATATATACAACAAAATCCTAACAGCTGTTAGAATGAAAGGTGATTTTATTCATCTTTGTCCTTTCCTATATTTTCCACATTTTTTATAATGAGTATGTTTCATGCTTTTAAATCAGGAGAACAAAATGGAAATTTCAAAAGAGAGTGAAGGGAACTCAGAGTCCTTTAATACTAACAATGAGTTTTTATTCATAAAATACTTATTCTTCCTTTAAAAAAATTTTTTTTCAACATAACATGCTATTATATTTATAAATGAAGGCTTAGGGAACAAATACCTTTCTGAGTATTTGACCACAATAATTTATAGCATACATTGGCTGTTCAGTGCTGACAAATTCCAGAAAGTAATTGCATAAAATACTTGGAGAGGAAATTGCTTTATGCTTCCGTGCTATTTATGGAAATTAGCATCTTTGCAAAAATAGAAACTGAGAGCAATCACAACCATAGACCTTGAAATGTGGTTTCCATAAGATGTTAGCTTTGCTGCTTTAAGACCCATTAGCAACATGGAGGGGAAAAACTGCCTGCTTTTATTTTTTTTCCTGTTATGAAACTGTTGCATATAATTATTTTTTTCCTCTTGGATCTTTAATCTTTACTTAACCTCTACTTTTCACTTCCAAATGAACCTCTCTTGAAAATGTCCCAGGAAGCACCATGCCACACTCGTCTTAAACATGCTATGTCAACTGGTAAAGCGATTTTATAAATATATACTAAAACCAAAAATCATTATTCCACTGCTGGAACAACTTGGAAATTTACTAAAGCAAACTTTCTTTTCCATTTGTATCTGGCAAGGTTTTTTCCCTAAGTGACCCCCTGAATGATCCTCAATATCAAGCGGCTTTTCTACTACATTTACTATTTTACTTTAAACTGAGTTTGTAAAAATGAAAGTCTGATGTTTCTTCCCATCCTTTTATCTCTTTGCCTCAGTTCAGTTCAGTTCAGTTCATTTCAGTCGCTCAGTTGTGTCTGACTCTTTGCGACCCCATGAATCGCAGCACACCAGGCCTCCCTGTCCATCACCAACTCCTGGAGTTTATTCAAACCCATGTCCATCGAGTCAGTGATGCCATCCAGCCATCTCATCCTCTGTCATCCCCTTCTCCTCCTGCCCTCAATCCCTCCCAGCATCAGGGACTTTTCCAATGAGTCAACTCTTCACAAGAGGTGGCCAAAGTATTGGGGTTTCAGCTTCAGCATGAGTCCTTCTAATGAATACCCAGGACTGATCTCCTTTAGGATGGACTGGTTGGATCTCCTTGCAGTCCAAAGGACTCTCAAGAGTCCTCTCCAACGCCACAATTCAAAAGCATCAATTCTTTGGCGCTCAGCTTTCTTCACAGTCCAACTCTCACATCAATACACTCTTTGCCTCAGCACTCTATAAAATAGTTCTGTTCTGTCCCTTCTGTCACCCTGTAACTGGGTTACATATACTCCTTTAAATGGTTTCTAAGCTCAGTAATCAAAGCCTCTGTAAAGGCTTTCTTCACTTTCCCAGTCTACCTAGCTTTTGGAGGGGTAACTCATCAAACTGCAAATTATACTGCCCAGAGATAAACAATTTATAACAGTCTTACTTTTTCAAGACAGCCTCATACAAACTCCATATATTTTCCAGGATCAACTGTACAAATAAAGATTTCTTTCCTTTTGCCTGTAAAAAAAAAAGGATGTATGGGTTTAAAATTTCTGAATATTTCATCACTATCTAATGTATTCATTCTTGATGTGCTTTATTATTGATGCATCATTTCTACTAGAAAATACTTATTCAAAAACAAAGTGGAGGAAAGTAGCTATACGAATGCTTTAAACAGCCAATAATCCACAGTCAGTTACACTCACTCATCTCTTTCCAAACTGTGGACACCACACACGAAACCACTCGGGGTGCGGCAGGGGAGGTGGATACATCACTGCAGCTGTCCTCCCACTGCCATCAAAAGAACACATGGTACCCAAGCTGAGAGCTAAAACTCTACTCTAAAATGTCCATGGACTTCGTTCTAAAGGATGTTCTTAAAATATGAACACTGTTCAACTTCAAGGAGAAGATATTAAAAAAAACAAAACCCCTACTATTTCTCTTATCAAACTATACAAAATCACAGCATGAGCACGCTGAGATGGATACTCTCATAGGTACAAGAGATGGAATATAAACTGAAACCCTCTTTCTCAAGAGCTACTGGCAAGGTATTGAGAAATTAAGTCACCAGCTTGAATGACTGGTTAAAAAAAAATCGTAGAGGCCTAAAAATGTATGCATCAAGATGCCTATCACAGCTTTACTTAAAATATCAAAATATTTGAGAAACAGAAATAAAAACTATGTTCAATCTTACAAGAATGATTACATGAATGATAATGATGTAACAGGGTGTTTATTACATGACAGGAATTGCTCTTAAGACTTTTCTTGGATATTTCATATAATTATCATAATCACTCCATGAGATAAATATTACTATCTTCAATTTGCAGAGGAAAGAAACAGATAAATGTCACAGAACTAGAAAGCGGTGGAGCTGAGACTCAAAGAGAATCAGATTCTCAAACTATGCTCTTTGTTACTTCACTCCACTGGCTCCTTTTTAAATTTATTATTTATTTATTTAAAAAATTTTTAGAATGTTGTGTCAATGCTACTTTCTCCATTCATCCCCTCTCCCCTTCCCTGTGTCCACAAGTCCATTCTCTACATCTGTATCTCCATTCCTTCCCTGAAAATAGGTTCATCAATACCATTTTTCTAGATTCCATATACATGCATTAATATACTATACTACTCTCTTACTTCACTCTGTATTAATAGGCTCTCGGTTCACAAACCTCACTAGAACTGACTCCAATTTGTTCTTTTTTATGACTAATATTCCATTGTATAAATGTACCACATCTTTATCCATTCCTCTATTAATGGACTTCTTTCTAGATTGCTTCCACACCCGGGCTATTGTATATAGTGCTGCTGTGAACACTGGGGTATCTGTGTCATTTTCACTTATGGTTTTCTCAGGGTATATGCCCAAGAGTGGGGTTGCCCGGTCATATGGTAGATCTGTTCCTAGTTTGTTAAGGAATCTACACACTGTACTGTTAATAAAGAACTTTCAGTGACAAGGGAAGATGTCACAATAGGATGTCAAGTGGAAAAGCGGCTACATTGTATAAACAGCATAATCTCAATCAAGGGATATATGTTATCTAAACAGAAAGAATGAAAGAAATGAAAACCATACCATTAGCAGTGTTGGCCTCTGGTATTTTTTGTTCTTTCCTGTAGCTTTATACTAAGGAATACCTTCTAAAAGGAATATACATGCTCTTCAATGAGAATACATTTATAAAATCCTTAATTTTACATTAAAAAAAAAAGTCTTCAAGAAAAGCATCCTTCCTTTGAGGCTAGGTGATTCAGCAGCCCTACAAGACCTCTACCAAAAGAATGAAGAACTCCAGGGAGCACCTGCCTCACCCATCAGCAATGCATGGTGACTGGTGTTCAATGAGGAGGCCTCGGCTGAGGCTAGGAATACAGGCCACACAAGAGACATCTCTTTAGGAAGGGGACACACAAATGCATGATGCAAAATATGTGTTTTCAAGTTCACTGGCCCAGGATCTGGGATTTCTGCTCCTCTTATATCAGAGAAGGCAATGGCACCCCACCCCAGTACTCTTGCCTGGAAAATCCCATGGACGGAGGAGCCTGGTAGGCTGCAGTCCATGGGGTCATGAAGAGGCAGACATGACAGCAACTTAACTTTCACTTTTCACTTTTATGCATTGGAGAGGGAAATGGCAACCCACTCCAGTGTTCTTGCCTGGAGAATCCCATGGACAGAGGAGACTGCCCACCAGTCCATTGGGTCGCAAAGAGTCAGACACCGACTCAGCAACTTAACTTTCACTTTTCACTTTTATGCATTGGAGAGGGAAATGGCAACCCACTCCAGTGTTCTTGCCTGGAGAATCCCAGGGATGGGGTCGCACAGAGTCGGACACGACTGAAGTGACTTAGCAGTAGCAGTAAATAGGAAAAACACCACCACCACTACCATGCGGTCCTTTGATCCTGATAAAGCACTCTCTTTAAGCAATACTTGGACATAAGACACATGAGCTTTAGCCAAGTATATACAGTACAAAATCTCCCATAAACTGACTCACATAAACTGAGGCAAATTAGAAGTGTGTTACAGTGCAGGTTTTCACAGGGCAAGAATGTGACCACCGATCAACAGGCACAATAGTCCACAGTACCTGATCTACCTTCACAATCTTCTTAGTCTTCATATTTATATAATAATTTCCCCACAAAGCTTCCAAAAGAACTTCCTTTCTGATGCCAGTTTTTTGACTGTAGATTTTGGCAAAGTGCTCAATTCTGAAAGAAAAGCAAGTGTTCACGTTATTAATAACAAAATAAATAAGTATGAGTCTAGCTAGCATTTGGGTGTTTCTGTTCCAGGTACTGTTCAACGTGCTCTGAATTCATTTCAACTCTCTTACAAGGTAGGTACTAATTATCTTCCCCTTTTCACGGAAAAGCATAATGAAGCACAAGATATCACACAGGTAACAAGTAAAGCTGGGATTCAAAGCCAAGCAGTCTCGCCCGTGTTCCTGTCCAACTTTCCCTACATTCATATGAACGAGAATTCATGCTATCAATCCCTTTCTTAATTCTGCAAGCATAAAACAAGAGAAACACTGGCCAAGGAAACAGGCTCCAGCTGTCCACTGCAACTGTGCCAACAATAAACTCTGTTTCAGTCCTTCACTGTAAGTTCCTATTGCTCATGAAGTAAATAAACCCTACAGTCAGAACCTGCCAAAAAAGGCTTTGTAGCATCCGAGATTAAACAGGAAATACATATACACTTACTTAGCTCTCTCCAGCCCTTAGAGAAACCAGTTAGCAGCAGGTCTGCTCTACTGCAAACCCCAGCCAAATGGGAGCAGTCACCAGACAAATAAGGATGCTGTATATTACACTATATGCAGCGTCTGGATAAAGGACCCCCCAAAAAATACTTTTTGCAGGGAACAGTATGTTCCTACACAATTTAAGCTTTGAGTTCAACTCTCAAAGTACCAGTAACTTACAAGACACCTGCTGTATTTTCCAAAGCATCCAAGGGTCCAAGTTCAATTGGCTGACATTCTCTTATGATTGGGAGCAATAAAAAGCTGGAGAAGTGGAAGTTGATAATTATGGTTGGAACCAGAAATATGAACAGCACCAGGCAGCAACTTAGAAGCAAAAAGAGACACTACAGAAACTACTGAAGATAAAATCCCAGTGGCCCCTCTCACTGAGAGTCACAGGAGAGAAAAATACCCAATCAGTAAGCAAAATTCATATCACATGGTTATAAGCCATCAACGTTCTGAAAGAGCTGGCCTCAAGGGTCCATCCCATGCAAAGTAATTCACTATTTAAAGCTTCATTTCCCATTTGATCCAAAAGACATTAACTTAGTACAGGTCTTAAAAATTTTTTTATAACAGTTTAGTTTCTCTTATATTACACTATTTATAACTTTTCTATGTCAACTTTTATATATTTTATATTTATTTATATAAGTTTATAGTGATATTATGGAGAAGGCAATGGCAACCCACTCCAGTACTCTTGCCTGGAAACTCCCATGGATGGAGGAGCCTGGTAGGCTGCAGTCCATGGGGTCGCGAAGAGTTGGACATGACTGAGCAACTTCACTTTCACTTTTCACTTTTATGCATTGGAGAGGGAAATGGCAACCCACTCCAGTGTTCTTGCCTGGAGAATCCCAGGGATGGGGTCGCACAGAGTCGGACACGACTGAAGTGACTTAGCAGCAGTAGCATAGTGATATTAAAATATAAACTATATTATTATGCTATATGTAAATAAGTTTATACATTTACATATTATACTGTTTCATACAAAACTTTTTATATAATATTATAAATAAATTTGTATACACAACATGTATATAATGGGGCATCCCTGGTGGCTAAGATGGTAAAGAATCCACCTGCAATGCAGGAGACACAGGCTCGATCCTTGGGTTGGGAAGATCCTCTGGAGAAGGGAATGGCAACCCACTCCACTATTCTTGCCTGGAGAATCCCCTGGACAGAGGAGCCTGGCGGGCTACAGTCCATTGGGTCGGAAAGAGTCGGACAGGAGTGCACAACTCATGTATATAACAACACATAATTTATATATAATTTATGTATGCTGTTGCTTGCTCACTCTTGAATTTTTTTTCCTAATGAAATTTCCTTTTTTAAAAAAACAGTATCTCCTCAACAAGGGGTACAAATACTTAATGTCACTTACTGTTCTGATCAGGCACATTCTATTCATGCTTCTAGGATTTTTTTTTTTTAATGTTGATTTGTGCTTTCCAGACTGTTACATTTTCTGTTATCCTTTACAACATGTCAGATATGTGTTCTATTGTTAGCTCACAAAGTGGTAAACAAACTCTCACAAACACTAAAACTGCTATAGAATCATAAATTAAGACACTTGCCCATCTGCTTATAGGTCACTGTCTCCACCCTTTTCTAGTCTGTCATTTCTATACACATACCTACACACAAAGACACTTATAAATCTTTGAAAATCTTGCTCTTCATCCTTTACCTTCTTTTTCATCCTGTTTACCACAAAAGTTGCTTATCAACATCAAACCTTTCTCCACTATTGCTCAGTGCTTTTATTCCTTTATCTGTCATTAGTTATAATGAAGCTTCTAGCAGGGCTTCTCCATTCTTGAGTTCTGTTTTAATTTACTTCCTTTACTGAGTAACTTCAAACAGGATTCTCAGAAAAGATCTGCAGAACATGTTTTCCAGGACTTCACTGACCCATCAATCTTTGGCCAGTCCTCCTGAATGTGGCCACATATGAAATTACTGGGCCACATACGCTTTTGAGTCCGAGGTACCCAACGGGCTAATATTAATTGCAGGATTCTAAGATGCTGTGGCATGAAGAACTACTAGGAAGTGCTTTTCATCATCTTCTCTTTCCTGTCCCTGTTGAATAGGGTTGGGCCTCAGCTGTTTACCTTAACTAGAAACTATTAACAGATCGTTGTTGCCACCTACCCAAGCCACTGTGTTGCTGCTTTTTCAGAGCAGATTCTCCTGGAGTAACAGCCATTAACAGGACAAATTCAGGCCATACGGCCACTAGTTACACTTCTTAATCCTGTCCCACTACATAAGAGTTCATAGAAACATTTTCTAAATTCTGAAATGTACTCATTTCCACGTTTTGTGACACGTGGAATTCCCTATTCACTGACATTTTAGAGGAAAATTGGAAGGAAAGAGTCTCCAGTGCTTTCATTTCCAACACCCTTCTCCCATAAGTTAACATGCCAACTAGCTGAGAACAGGCACTAGCAGATCTCCAAAGATGACATTGTCTAATACAGGGGAATTGATCTATTGATTGAAAGTAAGTGAAAAACGTTCAAAGTTGTGAAGGATACTGAAGTTCCCCTGATTTCATTCATTCAAATCTCTCCCCATTCCTTCTTCCATGATCAACTCCCCCTAATTCATGAGATTTAGACTAAAATTCACATAAAACATTCAATTATTTATGAAAATAAGTACTAGAAAAGGACAAGTCCCTCACCTTGTGGCTCACTAACAAAATGCTTACAAATTAAGAAACCAATAGGTCTGACTCTCTTCTATAACTGAATGAATTACTGAACTTTCTAGCTCAAAGAAACTCTTAGACATTATCTTAGACCTACATTATTATTTTTCAAATGAAGAAACTGAGGACCAGAAAGTTGATAACGGTAAGTCATCAACTACATATGAAAATTACAAACTTTCAAGTTTGTTAACTTCCATTTTCACTATAATCCATTATCTGAATGTATTTAAGTCTGATATGATCTTTATAGTAAACCAAGGAATCTATAATTTATTACAAACTAACACAAAAAAATTACAGTATTATAATTTATTATGCTGCCCCAGGCAAATGTGTTCAATCAAAATGAAGTTGAAGAGTAAGTTCCTGTAAAAAGGGAGATGAGAAATAACCAAGGTTGGTTTCACCTGGTCCCTTATGTCTGGTTCTATTATCCCCACAAACTGTATGAAAGGTTAAGCCCACAACTAAAGTAAATTTCATTATATCCCACAACTGTTTATCCAAGTCGAAGACATTTTTTCTCAAGGTAAAAAATTCTTTGAATTTTCTGATTCCACGAGTAAGCAATGGTTGTGGTTAGAAATGTAATCAATTACCTACACATTCAAAACTGCTATCACTCCTACTTGGCCTGAGCATGTACATACCCAGAAGGGCAATGAGAGGAAATAAGGGTGCCAATATTCCACAGTGAAGATCCCACAGAAGTATCATGGAAAGAAAGCATGAATTTCAGTGCCAGGCAGTCTTTAAACTTAACAACAGCTCTGCCACTCAGTGGCTGGGTAATGTTTAAGAAATCATCACATCATCTTCACTGCAGCATTACTGACAATAGCCAAGGTATGGAAACAACGTAAGTGTCCATTCACAGATGAAAGGATAAAGATGACGTGGTGTGTGTGTGCGCACACACACACATGAATAGTATTCAACCATAAAAAAGAACGCAAACTTGTCATGTGCAACAACATGAATAGACCTCGAGAGCATTAGGAGATATGTCAGATGGAGAAAGATAGGAACAAATACTGCGTGATCTCACTTACACATGTAGAAGCTTTAAAACACAAAACCAAAAAGCAAGCATCTTACAGATACAGAGAACAGACTAGTGGTTGCTAGAGGCAAGGAGTAGAGGGTTGGCAAAATGGTTGAAGGGGGTCAAAAGGTACAAACTTCCAGTTATAAAATAAGTCATAGGATGCAATGTATATAGCATGGTAAGTAAAGTTAGTAACATTGCATTGTGTAACTGAAAGTTCTTAAGAGTCAAAGTTAAAAATCCTCATCACACACACACACACAAATTTTCTAACTATGTAGTGTGATGGAAATTACTTACTGTAGTGACCATCTATATACAAATATAAACAGATATTTACACAATATGTACAAAGATAGAGTATGTTGCATACTTGTAATCAATATAATGGTATATGTCAATTATACCTGAACAAAAACAAAGTGGGCAAAGAACATGAAAAGACATTTCACCCAAGAGGATACATAGATGACAAATCAGCTCATAAAAAGGTTCAACCTCAGAAGCTGTTAGGACAATGCAAATTAAAACCATAAAAGCACATCAGTATATACCTAGCAGAATGGCTAAAAAAAGAAAAAACAGAAATACTGATGATACCAAATGAGGGTTAAGATGTGGAGAAATGGGTCGCCACACATTGCTGGTGGGAATGTGGTACACCTACTCTGGAAGAATTTGAAAGTTTCTTTAAAAATCAAACATATAACAACCCTAGGACTCAGCAAGTGCACTTCCAGGCATTTATCCCAGAGAAATGAAAACTTATGTCCACATAAACACCTATACATGAATGCTTATAGCAGTTTTACTCAGAGTAGCCCCAAACCAGAAAAAACCCAGATGTCCTTCAATGGGTAAATATTTAAACAAACTGTGGTACAACCAATACTATGGAATAGGACTAGACAATGAAAAGGAAACACCCAGTGATGCATGCAACAATTTAGGTAAGTCTCCAGAAAATGATGCTGAAAAAAATCCAATCTAGAAAACATTCTACGTTGTTCAAGTGCATTTCTATAACATTCTTGAAGTGATAAGTTATAGAAATGCAGGACAGTTAGTTGTTAAGGAGGAGCTGGGAGTGGGATGGAAGTAGGTGTTGCTATGTTAGTGCAACTCGAAGGTGCTCTGTGGTGATGGATTATATCAATGTTAATAGCCCCGCTGTGATGTTACACTACAGTTCTGGCGTAGGTGACCAATCTTATTTCCTACCTCAGAGAGAAAACAGAATCTACTGTTCAAAGATCCTGCAGGGTCCCCATCATCCAACTTATAAGTCCATCTCTACAGACACTGCTGGTTCTCCTCCTTCCGTGGCAGGGCAGTAGCATTCCACCTGTACCGTGCCTGACTGTCTCTTTAGGGAGCTGGATCCACTGACCCAGACTTTCTCACTGCTCTACCTTTATCATTTCCTTCCTGTAGCAAACAAACATTCTCAGCATGGCCTCATCAATGGTGCCCCACTGTCTTGAAAAAGACATTTCAAACCTCCACGCATGGCATACAGGATTCACCAGAATCTAAACTATTCCTTTCTACTCCCATCTCTTATCACTACTGTCCTTGATCTAGTTCTTCACTTGTAACCAACAATTTACATTCTTTGAATGGAACTTGCACTGTGTTTTTCTTTCCTTTATATAATGACTCTGTATATCTTATTTCTTCTCTCTTGAAGGCCTTGGCCGTGACTCTCCCCTGGAACACATTACCTTTCTTCCATCTCAAGACTCCTATTATAAGACTCACCCTAATTCTCCCCTTCCTATTGACCCATTCTGGGTGAGGCAGGCCTCATTTATGTTCTCAAATCATATTTAGGGTTTGTCTCATTGTTCCCCAAACATCTTTTATGTGTTTTTCTCCCCTACCCCACCATGAGATCTTTGAAGATAGGGACTCTGACCTGTCTGTCTTTACATTCACAATCCTTAGCATGAAGTAAACCTTCAAAAACTCATTTATTCAACATACAGTTATGATAATGTCTGCTGAATAAATAAATGAATGAAAGCTTTGGTAAAATTTCACCCAAATACAGGTAATAAAAAAAGCCAAAGAGTTTCCTAATATTGGCTTCACTTAAAAACCCAATCATGAGACTTTAAACAAGAGAACATTAAGACCTACTGTCCAAGTTTTCTATTCCAGGATGCTCCCAGGAGATGGAGGCGACTCCTGAGATGATGCTAGCTCTATTGCCCCAGCTGCAGTATGATGACTCCAAAACATTTAAGTGGATTTTCTGCATCAAAGCTTCATACTCAACCTAGCAACTTCCTTACAACTTTCCTTTGAGCCACAGTTTTTAAAGTACCGAAACAAAGGATAAAATACCTGTTCTAATATATTCTTGAGGTGACAGTAGGCCTCCTGTGGGGTGAATTTCAGTTCCACTATCAAGCGATCTATCTTATTGATCACTAAAACCGGACGGATGTTTTCGAGCCAGGCTTGCCGCAGAACTGCCTGTGTCTGATTAAAACAGCAAAGAAAATGTAAAGCTCATGATTTAAATTCAAGCACACATTAGAAAATCCTGATTAATAAGTAGCTTATTTTCATGCTCCTTTATCACATACAACTCAGACCATGCCAGTCAGACACAGGTATTCATTAGACAGTCAAAAATATATAACACAGAAGCAAAGAACTGCAGGCAGGNAAAAAAAAAAAGAAAAGAAAAACCATAAGGTTTCAAAGAAAAATTATTTTAAAACTGAGATTAGAAAGTCACTCTGAGCTTCACGCTGACCAGAGCTGTATGTTCACTCTGGCCTTAGGGAGAACTGTTTGAACTTTAGTGGGAAAGGTAAGAAAGTGCAGATGAAGAATCTGGAAGAGGAAGAGAGGGGAGGAAGGGAGAGAGTGTGTGTGTAAGGGTGAGGGGGCCCCCAGACTGAGAAACCAACAGAAGAGACCTTCCCATGTAGGGGAGAAGTAGCTCAGAATTTCCCTGTCAGCAATCCCTCACAGCTGAGAGACTCTTTGACTGGAGGAAAGCCCCCAGGCCCCCCTACATGCCTCTCTCATTTCCACTGAGTCCGTCTTCCAGAGAATACCACGGACATGTCAAAGCACCTGAAAGTCATTCTCTCTAATATCCCTTCAGAACTGGGGTGACTTAACTCCACCACAGGCTGGAACACTATGGAACGTGAAATGGAAAACTAGCTTTCTGGTGTCACAGAAACGTCTAAAGTGCCACATCATCATTGATGGTCAGTGCTTCCTCTCCCCCTGCCTTCTCTAACTAGTTAAACATTTCCAGGCTACCTGCGGGCAGACGCCTTCCACAGCGTCCACTATGATGATGCACCCGTCACAGATGTGAACAGCTGTGGACACTTCTGAGGAGAAACCCACGTGGCCTGGAGAGGTTAATCAGGTACTCCTCATCGCCTGAAATGAGATTTGAAAACACATATTGAGTAGTGCAGGTATGCAACCCTCCTCCTCAGGCAATTGAGAGCAGGAAAGCTTCTAAGAAATGATTGAAGAAAAGCTCTGTCACATAAAACAGAAGCGAGGAGGTTCTCGAAATCATTCAGCATTTTCATAGCCCAACCCTTCATTTCATTTTAGCTTTCATGCTAAAGCTCCCAAAAGGGAAGACATTTACCCAAGGTCACAAAAGCAGTCACAAGTCAGAAACACACCCAGGTCTATCTATCAGCTTAGTCACTTCCTGTAAAGGTCACAGGTGCCTCTAGACTTTGCAACTGGGGAGACAACACTTGTCTGTTCATGTGGCTCAGAATCAGAATAAGAAACCCTGGAGCGAGAAAAGACTGATGTTCACTGCCTGGAACCCATGTAAATGTCCTAAGCCTCTACAATCTACTTGGAAATTCTCTATGTTCATATGACCCTAGACAGCAAGTCAGAGATCAAGGACCAACTATGTTTCACTCAATTTCACACTGCTAATATGTGCCATCATCGTAAAGCGCAGGGCCTGCTGTCAGAGTCACTGAAAGAGGAATAGTGGTACACCTTTGTCTGAGGCTTACACACAAATACACACAATTGAAGATGAGAGGCTTGAACATGCTTAAAAGTTGACAGCACCAGGACATAGGAAGTAAGTCCAGAGCACAAGCCTTTCACAGTGACAGCAGGCAAGCAAAGATACTAACTATATTACACTGTGAGGGGTAGTAGCAAATAGCTGAGAGAATTTTCCTTTTCTCTGTAAAATAGAATGGAGAAATGTCTGCTGAGATTGTGGGGGAGGGACTGAGAGGTGGACTCGAAGAGAAAAGAGGGTTTAAGAGAGCTCCAGTGGGAGAGAATGAGCAGGGTCTGACAGAGGACACATGGAAGTCTGCCAGTAGCCCAACAACCAGCCGAGAGCCCAGCCCAAGGGTACAGGGAAAATGTGTGGAGTCAGCTCTACCAAGGGTTAGAGTTTTACTGAGAGGACAGGAGGCCACGACAGCAGATACACTGAGGGCTTCAGCGAGACTGTCAGGAAAAGACAAGTCTGGATAGTAGGAGGCAGAGATGAAATGAAGGATGCCGGTGGGGCGCAAGAGCTGAAGGGCTTCCTGAAGTCAAGTGGGTCCCTCGTTACACAGGTGAGAGAGCTGGAAAAGTAAAGATCGTGGAGAAGGGAGTATTTAGATGGGAAATATCAGAGGACCCGAAAGGGGTGATATTAAAATGCAGAAAGCAGCCATACTAGTGGGTGGGTCAAGTAGAGGGGTACACATCACTACTGTTGAGAAGCCAAGCTCAAGCTGTTGGAAGAGGTCATTTTTCAGACACAGGAAAAGCCACCTTGGTGGATTTGAGTAAAAAGGAAAATGATGAACCAGTTGCCAAAGTCACTAATGAATGGCGACCGGGGACTGTAACTGGAAGCTGAGGTGGTGAGGAGTGGAGAATAACTGGATAGACGGTAAGAGTCTCGAAGGAGATGGAGTTTTAAAGCAACAGTGGAAGAACTAAACTCTGAACCAGAACCAGGGCACAAGGAGAAGGGTGATCCCATGTTCTCACCCAGGGACAGACGGAGTACGACAGAATAAACAGCACTCACTTAAAAGGAGGACAAGAGAGCAATGACTAGAAAACAGCCAGGCAGGGGGAGGAGGGAAAACAGGATGGAGGGACACATGTTTACCTTGGGAAGTTTTCAGAGAAAGGTGTGGGCAGCAAGGGAACAGTAATAGTGAGGGCTTGAGTGCAGGTATGAGAAACACAGGGACAAGATGACTGAGAGGCCAGATCACGTGACCTCCATTTTGGGCAGTGACCAAGGACAACAGAGATGGGGGTGATGCCACAAGAGATGCCCTAAGGAGCCAGAGCGACCCCTGGCGGACAGCAGAGAATTTCACTGAAGGGGAATCAGGGGTGGCCTGGACTGAATGACTTTTGAGAGACTCCTGGTCCAAATAAACAGGCTGGAAATATATTAATAGTTACTTGGTTCCCAGGACCCCTGAAGTAGGAAATGGCTACCCACTCCATTATTCTTTCCTGGAAAATCCCATGGACAAAGGAGCCTGGAGTGTTACAATCCATGGGATCACAGAGAGTCAGACACGACTGAGCACGCATTCATTATGCACGACTACTGCCACATGCTAACTACTCTGTCTCTGGGAAGGTCTCTTAATCTCTCTGAACTCCACTTTGCACACATGTAAAATGAGGAGAATCTCCATTTCCCAGGATTGCCATGAGGGTTAAACAAAATCACGCAGATGAGACATGCAGCTCAGAATCAAACCATGGTGCACCCATCTTCTCAGATCTTGCATCATCTGAAAGCTTCACAAAGTAAAGCATTCATTATCTTTAGAGGAAAAAAAATCTGACCTTTAGTCAAACTAGGCACAATGGAACCCCATCCTCCAAGCCTGGTCCCAAGGGAAAAGGACAGTGATCAGAAACACGAGTGAATGCATATGTGTCTGGAAGCGACAGTAGCTACTGGCATGTGCTGGCCTTGTGTGCATCTGGATGGCACGAGTCAGTGTCCCCAGGGCCCAGGCTTTGAGATGAAGATCAGAGGGCCACAGAGCTGAGACCCTCTACTCGCCCATAACTGCAGACCCCTATGGAGGTGTTCGCCTGGTGGCACAGATGGTAAAGAATCTGCCTGCAATGTGGGAGACCCAGGTTTGATCCCCAGGTCAGGAAGATCCCCTAGAGGAAGAAATGGCAACCCACAGAAGTATTCTTGCCTGCAGAATTCCCATGAACAAAGGGGCCTGGCAGGCTACAGTCCATGGGGTCACAAGGAGTCAGACACAACTTAGCGACTAACACTTTCACTTCCTGGAGGTGTTTACAGAGGGGTGAACTTACAAGTGGATCTGTCTGCAGACAGCCTCCACATCCTTGGTCTCCACATTTGGAGCACATCTAAGCTACAGTATGGCTGCCTCTTGGGTAAACACCCCCTGAACCAGGCTGTCAGCTAGCACATATGCCTGAAGTACAAGCTGAAAGGTTGTTAGTGAAAGCCCACTACAGTTTGCTTTACACTGTACTTTACCATTTTTTAATAATTGCCAGTATTTTTAAAGACTAGATTAGTTTACCAAAAATCTTGATGTCTTTTCTTGAAAACAAAACAAAACAGAAAAACACAGGGCATCTGTCAGTTGGAGCTAAAAACCACTAGCCACCATCCAGGTAGAGGGGTGTTTCATGGGTGGACCGAGTCTACTCTCTGGCTCACAGCAGTCCCACCCAGACTGTCTCATTCATGTGGAGGTGCTGACGCCAGCACCACACCAAGAACTAATGATATAGTACTGAATAATCAAGTGAAACTCCTGTTGGAATAAGTAGTTAACNATAAGTATTTACTTTGCAACTTGCTTTTTGTCTCTGACTTTATCTTTTCTATATAATCACACAGTTGTTGGAAGAGCTGCAGAGCGCATCACAGCATGGATGTATCAGTCTACTTAACTATTTTCCAAAGACACTAAGGCATTCTTTTCATTGATACAGACATTAGGGTGAATATCAATGAACTTATATCTCACAAGCTTGTATGACTATGTCTGTCAGACAAATCCCTAAAAGTATTACTGTCAGAGTAGCATCCTGATCTGCGGATAAAAGTTACAGTGACTATGGCAATGCAGAGTTAAGTAAATAAGACTCTAGATCTAACAGGCAGGCCAGAGGACAGAACAAGGACCCAGCAAGGAAATGGGACGATAAGACTGAGCCAGGGTCCTATGACTCCAGACCTTCCCAGAGAAGATATCTCCACAAGCACCTGGGTGGACGGGGGCAGGTGTGAACTGCCAGTGATTCTGCCCTCAAGCCAGTCAGAGGCCCCCACCTGCACCCAAGTATGGATAGCCTGACTCTGATCTGAAAAGTGATCATCTGGAAAGGCCAGAATGAAGTTTGTGGAAGGTAAAGCAAAAAAAACCTGAGGTGTGAAACTGATTTGGAAAGAGAAAGGAAGACACAAAAGATACGAAACCACTGTTCTGTAAAACGCAGACCAACGTACCTTCCGCGTAATGCAGAGAGATGGCACTGGATTTCATAGTGATCCCTCGGACCTGCTCGTCTTCTCTGCTGTCCATGTACCTCAACTGCAAAAACGCAACCTTAACGTTAAAACGAACTGATGTGGACTTTTGTTTTCAATATTTAAATTTTTAGGCTTATTATTGCTGTGAAGTTGTTCATTAGGTCCCACTATTATTACTTTTTAAATCTCTGCAGCGTTTTTCTTGCCTAGTATCATGTATTTCTTTCTCCTTTCCTTTTTCCTTGATCAGTTTCTAGATATTTATCACTACAAGATAATCACTGCAAGATAATCATACAATGTCTACATTGCTAGTAATTCTTTTTAAATTAACAGACTTTCTTTTTAGAGCAATTTTAAGTTTCTAGAATAATTGGAAAGTAAAGAGGTTCCTAAATACTTCTACATACAGTTCCCTCCCTGTTATTTACATCTTACATTGTGTGCAGTCCTGGTACATGTTATAATCAATGAACCAATATCCAAACATTACTATCAATTAAGGTCTATAGTTTACATTAGGATTCACTCTTTAAATGTATAATGATGTGTCCATCATTATTGTATCATATCTGTTAGTTGTATGAATCTTTTGAAGAACAAATTTGGCTTCTTTGATCTTTTCTACTTCATTAATTTATGCTTTATTATTTCATCTACTTACAGTAATTGTACTTGTTCTAACTTCTCAAGTAGGAAAAATAAAAGCACTTTATTACTTTATTCCACCCAGTTTTTTAAGCCTCCTCTAGACAGTATCGTGGGCCAATTTCCTGGGGACCCAACCTGCCTCAGAGGCCCCATTCTTCCTTTAGTATCTCAGGTCTACTTTTCAAATTCAATTTTGCTTCTCCATCTCCTCTTCTTTGTATTACCAATCACTGGATAAATCCTGCTGACTATATCTTAAATTCACTGAAGGAAGGAATATCTTTATTTTTCTACTACAAAGAAATCATTCTAAGTCCATTCAATTCACAGCTAGAAACAAAGGTCTCTTTCATTTCATTTCCTAAAACACGATTTTCCTCACGACCCTCATACTTCAGAAGCCTTCTTTTGGTATTCAGGTTAGCCTTCAAGATTGTCATAATCTGATACAGTTTTCTGTACCAGCACAGTTTTCTTTCTCAGTAATTGCTAGGCAAATGTTCCACTCAAATTAAGTGCAACCCACAAATTAGACTTTATCCATTTTATCCACATTATTTCCTGCTGTGAAGCATCTATTCCACCTATGAAATCTTCCACAATCATGCGAGGTTATCATCTGACTTGCTGCAAAAGCTCATTCTTGCACTTATAAAATATTAATATAAACTAATATAAAAGCAATACAGAAATAATTTTTTCTCAACAATCTATTTTATCTTGCTAAATGGACTGCCAGTCTCTTAGATGCACGAACTATGCTCTATACTTTTGGGGTCTTTATGAACACAACAAACGCTTCATCGCATTGTAGATTTGCTAATACTTACTGAAATGCAAGTATATATCAAATATAATAACATACCTAGCCTGCCAGGTGGCTGGAGAATATTCCATTGCTAGATACAAGACAGTCAGCCAGAGTAGTTTTTCCTGTTCAAGAAACAATATTAATTTAAATAGACTTCTTTTCTTAAAGGGGGAGGTAGGTAGATTGCATCCACATATTTAACATTTAACCATAAGAACTGCTTTACCAAGTATTTCCTATTTACCTCCAGTACGTGAAAGAAGACACAACGAGCATTTTAACTAGACTTTTGAACAGTGCACTGTCTGGAAGGGCAAAGGTGCTAGCACTCCACAGTGCTATAATCTGTATCTCCAACCCTGTGGATCAACCTTACTTTAAAAGCTGTCCAGTAACTTTTTTTTATTGAGGCATACTTTACACAGGGGCTTCCCTCGTGGTTCAGTGGTAAAGACTCTGCCTGCCAATGCAGGAGATGTGAGTTCAATCCCTGGGGGGTGAGGAAGATCCTCTGGAGAAGGAAATGGCAATCCACTTCAGTATTACTGCCTGGAGAATCCCAAGAACAGAGGAGCCTGGCAGGCTACAGTCCAGGGGTTGCCGAGTCAGATACGGCTGAGTGACTAAACAACAACAACCCTTATCCTAGTGCCTTGCTGGCAGGAAGGGGTCTTTAAGATACAGCATAGCCTATCTCTTCACTTTTATCTCCTCCTCCCTCACTTTCAGGATGGTATATAGGTTTTATTTTATACTCCCACCTCCTATCATTTTGCTGTGACAGGGTGAACAAAAAGCAGTTTGAAACCAAGAGCAGGCTTAGCAGGAGGCGATGCCGTGGCATGAAAGCAATGTTTGTCAGGAGCTAAGCACCATGCATCAGCCCACCTTGCCCTCTTGTGTCCCAGCCTCTGTCACATACATTTCTTTCTCCCCTTCTGACACTTGAAATGAGTGTCCCCATCTGCCATCTTGAATCACCCTCCAGGGTTCATCTCTAATACTAATTATGCTATAAAGCCTTTTCTTAACCCATTCCTAGCTTCCTGACTCCCCAGCTCTCTCAACCCTTATCTACTTTGTGCCTGTCTCACTTTGTGTTGCCTCACCCCCCAAATCACCTCTACAGTTGAGGGGGTGCCCTGTTCATAAATTTCTACTGTCTGACATAGAGCGCAAAGAACCCTGAACTTAGAACACAGGTTCTGAAAATATTAAGACTACAGACGTGTTATATTAGAAAGCCATTTCAAAAGGGCTTGAATAGTTTAACAAAAACTCAACTTCTCATTTAAAAACCAACACTGTATACTATCTAGAAGAACACCAATCCCTAGTTGGCCGTGTTCTACCACATCAAACTTCTAAAAGAAATAAGACTTGCACCTTAGCATCACTCCAATGACACGTGTGGAGACACACTCCCTTAATTACTGAAAACAAGCTATTTAGAAAGGGCTCCTACGCACAGAGTCGGACACGACTGAAGCAACTTAGCAGCAGCAGCAGCTTACAATGGTCTACGTGAGCCAAAACACAGATATCCTGAATGTTAGCAGTGTATTTTTGGAGTTGAATCATCTTATGCAAACTATTGAGCACCACGGTCCCTTATTTCCTGTGACTAAAAATTAAAGACTTATTACAAACGACTAAAGATCGGGACAATAAAAAAGGGTTTTTAATACTGGGAACTGACAAGATTTCTCAAGTTTCTTCAAGTAAAAATTCAACGAACCGCTTATTAAAGGCAGATATCCACCCAGACATAAGTCCAATTTGAGCACTTCAGCAACTACTGTACTACGACTGTGGATTTTACCCATCCTTCCAGATCTGCGATGAATCACAGAGCTCCTTAGGGCTGGGTGCCCAGTGACATCGGGAACTCTGCCCTGTACCCTCGGCTGGGGTGAATTTCTCCAGGTCAATGAGAACGTATCGCAACTGTCGTAAGCAACAAAGAAGATGCTGACACCTCTCCTTCAGCTCCTCGATCTTTTTCTAAGTCCCTCTGTTATGCCCGATGTCCGAATTCCCCAGCGGGAAAAGAGAAGACCTCCTCGACAATGCAACATGCAAAGGAAGGAAAATTTATTGCTGACTTGAGTCAGGGCCCCTGCTGCAACCAACGCAGTGGTGCAAAGCCAGAGAGCCCTGAGCCCCAGTCTCCACGCACATTTATAGGGTGCTCGATTTCAAACATAAGCAATGGGTAGTTAGTGCAAGCTGATTGGTTACATGTTTGCAAAGCAATTTCATTGGTCAAACACACTTTAAAATTTTCACGCGCCCGCGGGACTTTCCAGGGGACTCTTCCAGAGGCTTACTGGGCGCGTGCTGATTGGCTAGCCTCTGGTGGCCTGTTGGAGGAGGAGGAGAATCACCCCACCCTTAGGACCCCTCCTAGCTCAGGGTGCCTGTCATGGCGCTAGTCTTGA